TTAGTAACTGATGGCCTGGAGCTGGGGGGTGGGAGTTGAGAGTGACAGCAAAAATGGACACTAGGTTATTTTTAGGGGTTACTGGAAATGTTCTAAAAGAGGGTTGTGGTGCGCAAGGGTGTAACTCAGTGGAGTAATGCTTACCTAGCACTCACAAGGCACGGTGGTCAATTGGCAATACCATGAAAGTAAATTAATAATTAATTAATCAAACAATTTAATAAAATTAGTACCTGAGAACACAGTTCAATAGTAGAGTGCTTGCCTATCATACACAAGGTCCCAGGTTTGAACCTCAGTACCACACACAAAACTCATAATAAATAAAAAAAAGTGGAATATGGTGATAAAGCAAGTGAATTTTCTCATTAAAATTATACTTTGGCAGGGCTATAAAGTATGTATTCATCTATGCATGACTTTTTTGGGGTTTTTTGGTTGGTCATGGGTCTTGAACTCTGGGCCTGGGCACTGTCCCTCAGCAATCCAGCTCAAGGCTAGTGCCCAACCATTTGAGCCACAGCACCACTTCTAGTTTTTCTGGTGGTTAGTAGGAGATAAGAGTCTCATGGACATTCCTTCCCAGGCTGTCTTTGAACCATGATCCTCAGATCTCAGCCTCCTGAGTAGCTAGGATTACAGGCATGAGCCACAGGTACCCAGCTACCCATGAATTTTGATAAGAATCTGTTATCACAGGGTAAAGTCATCTTAGTTGAAAGATTGAGTATATTATTTCAAACTCAAGAGAACTTTGAAAGAGCAACAGAAGCTCAGGGACAGCACCTAAGCACTGAGTTCAAGCCCTAGGACTGGCATGTACACATACACACCAAAAAAACTAGTATTCAGGGCTGGGAAGGTAGCTCAGCGGTAGAGTGCATGCCTTGCAAGCATGAGGCCCTGGGTTTGATTCCTCAGCACTACATAAACAGAAAAAGCTGGAAGTGGCGCTGTGGCTCCAGTGGTAGAGAGCTAGCCTTGAGCTGAAGAGCTGAGGGACAGCGCCCAGACCCAGAGTTCAGGCCCCATGACTGGCAAAAAAAAAACTAGTATTCACAAACATGACAAACACAGTACATGAATTGTCATGAATTCTAAAAACCTAAAGATAAGTTGTTAAAATTGGTAAGTAATTTGACCATTTTAGTAAATAAGAAGTTAATATACAACCAGCACAACTATGTTTATTGCAGCATTATTTACCATAGCTAAGATATGGAACCAACCCAGTAGATGAATGGATCAAGAAAATGTGGTATATATACACAATGGAATTCTATGCCTCCATCAGAAAGAATGACATTGCCCCATTTGTTAGGAAATGGAAAAACTTGGAAAAATTATGTTAAGTGAAGTAAACCAGGCCCGAAGAAACATAGGTCCCATGGTTTCCTTTATTTGCAATAACTAGTATTTGTCTGAGTCAAGCAGAAAAGGTCAGATAAGTTGATGTTAGAGGAATGAACCCCAAGATAAGTATTCAAATGTTTTTTTTTCCTTTCATGCAATTGTTTCTAACATATTTATTTGTATGTCCCTCCCCCATGGTATAACCCATGCTTTCACTGTATTTGATGTTAGTATAATTTGTGGAGCAGAAGGGAAAAAACAAATCCTTTAACTAGGGATACAGGTGGACCCATTGCAACAACGATATATACAAGTCGTTATGTCAAAAAATGAACTTTACAACTTTGGAGGGGGGGTGGGGGGAGGACCGGGTGGAAGGAGGGGGGAGTATGGGAAGGGATGGGAAGGGGAAACAAAGAGGAGGCAACAATGCTTGATAAGAAATGTACTTATTATCTTGCCCATATAATTGTAACTCCTCTGTTCAGTATTCTCACAATAAAAAAAGAAGTTAATATACCAAAAAAATCAATATTTTCCTATACTAGTAAATGTTTTAAAAGACTTCATTAAGTCTTACAATATCATCAAAATTATATTAAATATCTAGGAATAAACCTAATGCAAAATACAGCCTCTACAGACAAAGCACAGAAAATTACTGGGGAGGTTCAAGCCAACCTAGGTCAACAGGGGATAGATAGTTTATGCTTATGATTCAAAAACTCAGCCCTACTGATTTATATAAGTAACTTATAGATCCAATGCAACTAATGATTAAAAACCTGGCAGGAGCCAGGCGCCAGTGGCTCACACATGTAATCCTACCTACTCAGGAGGCTGAGATCTGAGAATCACAGTTCAAAGATAGCCCAGGCAGGAAAGTCCTTGAGAGTCTTATCCCCAATAAACCATTCAGAAAACCAAAAGTGGCACTGTGGCTCAAGTGGTAGAGTGCTAGCCTTGAGAGCTAAAGAGCTGAGGGACAGTGCCCAGGCCCAGAGTTCAGGCCCCACGACGGGACCCAAAAACAAAATTTTAAAAGAAAAAAAGAAAAGGCGTTCACCATGCATACAACCAGCTAACATCCAAATCCAGAGTTTGGAAGAACTACAAATCAAAATGACTGAAAAACAACATAAAAGTAAGGAGAAATGGAGACAGTTCACATAAAAGGTCTCTAAATTACCAACAAGGATATGAAAAAGTGATGACCTTGTAGTTCAGCAGAGACGTAAAAAATTAAAACCACCTTGAGATAATCCCACCAGAATGTATAAAATATCCAAGATAATGATACCTCCAACAGCCAGGACTATAGAGCAATGAGGATTCACATGGGTTGCTTGGAACAACGCCGCAGCTTTGTCACAAGCACTATGGAAAACAATGTGGTAATGTTTTTCTAAAAGTAAAGACAGTATTTACACATTTTGTGAGCCAGGAATTGAACTTCCATGCATATACACAAGAGAAATGTAAGTGTACATGTACCTGGAGACATTTAAAAATGTTCACAGTCATGTTATTTGTTTTAGCTCCAAAAGTTGGCAAAGACTTTATTCTCTTTGAGGTTTTCTTTTCTTTTTTTGGGGGGGTCCAGTTGTGGGGCCTGAACTCTGGGCCTGGGCGCTGTCCCTCAGCTCTTCAGCTCAAGGCTAGCGCTCTACCACTTGAGCCACAGCGCCACTTCTGGATTTTTTCTTTTTGCTTATGTGGTGCTGAGGAATCGAACCCAGGGCCTCATGCATGCAAAGCAAGCGCTCTACCACTGAGCCACCTTCCCAGCCCCTCTTTGAGGTTTTCATAATGAACTGAAATGAATTAATCTGCATGATCTTCCTTCCTTCCTTCCTTCTTTCCTTCCTTCCTTCCTTCCTTCCTTCCTTTCCTTTCTTCCTTCCTTCCTTCCTTCTCTTTCTTTCTTTCTTTCTTTCTTTCTTTTTCTCTCTTTCTTTTTATTTCATTCTCTCTTTTGTTCTCTCTCTCATTCTTTTTCTTCCTTCCTTCCTTTCATTCATTCTTTCTTTTTCTCTCTTTCTTGAACTCAAGGCCTAACACTGCCCCCTTAGCTTTTTCACTGGAGGTTAGCTGTCTACCATTTGAGCCATACATCCACTTCTGGCTTTTTGGTAGTTAATTAGAGATAAATTTCATGGACTTTTACAGGCTTTGAACCACAGTCCTCAGATCTCAATCTTCTGAGTGACTAGGATTATAGATGTAAGCCACCAACACTCAGACTGTATATTTTTCTTGAGGTACAACAGATCACCTAAGGTAATGTGCATTGGTAGCTAGGAAACTAACCCCTTGGGAAGACCAAGATCCTAAGACCACAAATCCAAGAGAAAAGGTGGGAAGAAATTATTTCAAAGAAACCATCACTCCTTGTCTTAGGGACTTTGTTGACTCATATGCCCAGATGGAAAAACTGACTTTTAAAATATTGTAAAAACAGCCTGGCACCAGTGGCTCATGCCTATAATCCTAGCTACTCTGGAGGCTGAGAGCTGAGGATTGAGGTTCAAAGCCAGCCTGGGCAGGAAAGAATGTGAGACTTTTATCTCCAATAAACCACCAGAAAACTGAAGTGGTGCTGTGACTCTAGTGGTAGAGCGCTAGCCTTGAGCTGAAGAGCTGAGGGACAGCACCCAGGCCCAGAGTTCAAGCCCCACAAACAAACAAACAAAAATTTGTAAAAACAAAACATCCACATGGTAATTTGTAAGAAGAAAGAAAGCAGACAGTATAAAAAGATATAATATTATATACTTCTTTCCCATCTATAAATCCTCAAATGTAACCATTATTTTGGTATATTCTCCAGAAAAAAGTGTAGCTTATAAGTACCTATAAAGTATAGTTTATATTATCATTTGTACCCTAAAGGATAATTAAACAAATACCATCTCACTTCTCTTGCATTAATCAGTATTGCCTTGCCTTCTTTGCATGTGTAGGTTTACCTCATTATTACTGGCTTCATCGCTTGTCATTGCGTAAGTGGACTAGAATATTCTCAAACAGTCCCATGTTCTTAGTCTTTTACTTTGCTTCCAGTGTTTAGGTAATGATGAATGATGTTATATTAACCTTTTTTTTTGCAGTACTGGGATTTGAATTCAGGACCTTGCACTTGTACTCTGCCACTTGAACCACACTCTGAAATCTTTTAGCTCATAGCTATTTTTCAGATAGGGTCTCTCATGGGTTTTGTTGTTGTTATTTGTTTTTGCAGGAGGGTGCTGGGAGCAGAGCAGGGTCTAGTTTGAGATATCTACAGCCTCACAGGCAGGGAACACAGGTACACACGGCCATAGTCCCCTTTTGATTGAGATGGGATCTTGCTGTTTGCCTGGGCTGAACTTGAACAGCATCCTTCCAAATGTCACCCTTTAAATAGCTGGGATTATAAGCATTTACCACCATGGCCAGCCTTACCATAAATATTTTTGTGAAACTATCTTCACATGTTTTCCTTAAGGTAATTTCCCAACTGCATAAATATGGGTTCATGGGTAGATGGTTTTCAAACCCTAACATTTATCTTTTCACATTTTACCATTAGAGCAGGAAATAGAGTCTTAGTTAGAGATGAGCACTCCCACTTCCTTTTTTTATGATTCACCAATATATTTTGTTCTTCTAAAACAAAAAAAAAAGCAGTTGCATTCCTTGGGGCTGGTGTGAGCTGTACATTGATTATAAAACAAGACCAAAAACTGATGTTCCTGGGACAATACCTGCTTTGGCCTCCATTCTGAATGGTTCCGGTCTTCATGCCACTGTGGGCAATATTACTGGTCCTGGGTGAGTACATGGCTCAGCATGGGCCCAGGGGGGTTGGGAAGCCCCTCTCTCTTGCTCCACCAAGAAAAGCTTGGCCCTTTCTTGGAGTACAGCCTTTGCTCAGAGAGTCTTTCCTACCTATGGAGGTTAATATTTTCTAGCTTTTCTGTGCAACACAAGACTTCCTCTCTTGAACCTAAAGAAAGTGGTCACAGCTGGGGAAAAAAAATCTTTAACCTTAAGAGAAAGAAACCATAGCAACTAAAATTTCAGTTACAATTTCCACAGATACTTCACAAAGCCTAGAAAATAGTTATGTCTGCTGATTGATAGTGTTTTTCTGTTCTGGATTTGTTGTTCTTGTTCTCATTCTTGTTGTTGTATGTTTCCCGGGGCTTGAACTCAAGGCCTGGGTGGTGTCTCTGAGTGTTTTTTCCCCCTCAAAGCTAGCACTCTACCAATTTGAACCACAACTCAAGTGGACTTCTAGCTTTTTGGTGGTTAACTGGAGATAAGAGTCGGGTGGGCTTTATTTCCAGATATGGCTTTGAACCACAATCCTCAGATCTCAGCCTCCTGATAAGCTAGGATGACAGACGTGAGACACCAGTGCCCAGCTTGGTTGATAATGCTTTATCCTGACAAGAGCCTATTCTCTCTGTACTGCGGATGCATTTACCCCCTTATGACAAGGCCAGGTTTGGGTCCTGAATATAGGAAGAAGTGGAAGATACCTCCTCCTGCAAAAATTACAGCCATAATTGGCTGTGAACAAGCACAGTAGGTCCAGTGGGTAGGCACAGAGGAGGCAGCAGGCCAAATAAGGCAAAACTTGCAGCTCTAACATTCTCCTTGTGCCTGGGGTTGTGCATAAGTCTCCATCAATCCATAGCTCCAAATCCATTCCTCTGTTTGGCCAAGGTGAAAATGTTAGAATTAAATAGTTTTACTCTTTCATTCAGCAGAACGTTGATATACACAGCACCGCACCAGAGGTTAGGAATAATAAGAGAGCACAGGAAGCCCTGTTTTTGTGCTCAGGAAGCTCAGCCATAGATGGGAACGCAGAAAGACTATATAAAAAGATCCTAGTTAATTATCCAGGCAAAGTCACTAATAGATGGCATAGACAAACATAAGCTACCCCAACTGGTTAATAAAGGCTTTGGAAGCCTAGGAGGGGGGAGGACAGCCACAGGACAGGGTGGACAGCCACAGGGTGCATGGTCTATTATTTCAGAACTAGAAGCGCATTCCAGTGTGGCTCAACACAGAGGAGCAGGATGGGGACTGGCCAGACCATGTGCTTTGGGCTCAAAGAAGATCTGGATTCAAAACTCTGTCCTAGCTGGGTGCTGATGGCTCACACCTTTAATCCTAGCTAAATAGCAGGTTGAGATCTGAGGATTTCTATTTAAACCAGCTTGGGCAGAAAAGTCCATAAGACACCTATCTCCAATCAACCACCAAAAAGCCAGAAGTGGAGCTGTGGCTCAAGTGATAGAGCACCAGCCTTGAACTAAAAAGCTAAAAGGCAATGTCCAGGCCTTGTTAAAGGATGGGTAATGGTGTACTTACCTCATAGAGATTTGCAAGATTACATGAAATAATGTATATAAACACATGCCATATAGAAAGTGCTCAGGAAAATATTAGCTGCATTTAAAACAATATAAAAGCCACGTTGACTAAAATATTTGGGTAATTGTGAATAATTCTGTTCTCAATGGAAATTATATGGCTTCAGCTACTTCTTCATGAGTTTTACATGGTCAAGAGTGAAGTGTCGGGCTGGGAAGGTGGCTCAGCGGTAGAGTGCTTGCCTTGCATGCTCCAGGCCCTGGGTTCAATTCCTCAGCACCACATAAGCAAAAAGAAAAAAGCCGTAAGTGGTACTGTGGCTCAAGTGGTAGAGTGCTAGCCTTGAGCTGAAGAGCTGAGGGACAGCGCCCAGGCCCAGAGTTCAGGCCCCATGACCGGACCCAAAAAAAAAAAAAAAAAGAGTGAAGTGTCTTTCACTCCCGGCTGGTTTCCCCTGCCTGGTCTTGGCATTTGGCTGGCATTCTAGAAATTTCTAGAATCTGTCCCTGCCAACTTTGCCTCCTCTATGTCTTCATTGCTCATTTCTCAAATTTGTGTTCACCTACCTCTATCACTCACTTAGATTGTGAATTAATTTATTGTTCAATAAATATTTAATGAGTGTCTCTTATATGCCACGTAGCATTGTAGATTCTAGAGGGTTATTTGGTGGAGACGAATCCCCACTTTACAGAGGAAGCAATCAAAGTGAACAAGTCAACAATTGTTTCAGATCACTCCAGTTGAATAGTCTGAAGAAAATGAAATATCACCAACTCTCACATGGCCTTCTAAAATACCCCACATCTTGTCCCGTTGAAGGCTGCTCTCTGCCAGAACACGCCATCTAGGGCTTCAAATTCTAATTCTCACACTCCTTGAAACCTCTCAATGGTTCCCCATGGCTTTTATAGTAAAATCAAAGCTACTTACTTGGGCCTTATATTCCTCTGTAATCTTACTACTCACCACTTCTTACCTTTCCAGATGTACACACACACACACACACACACACACACACACACTCCCTGAGCACCAATGACATATTTTTACTTCTGTGTCCTTCCTATCTTAAATACTCTCTCCAAGGGTATTAACCCTTACCTGGCCAATTCCTATGTTCTTGTTCATAGTGTTCTCAAGCATCATGTTCCTTCAGGTACCTCCCATGGTCCACCTGAGTCTTCAATAATCTCTCCCCCCCCCTCTATCTCTCCCTTTCTCCCTTCCCATCTCTCTTTCAACACTGGCCTGAGTTGTACCTTGATTCTCAAGATACCCATTGTGTTCTTGTATTATTTCACTAATTGAATTACATTATGTCATTGTAGTATAATTATGGTTTTGTGATTTTGTTTCCCCCACCAGTCAACTTGTTGCTGGCAGATCCCATTCAGCTTTTATCTTAAAAGTCTAGGAGGGGCTGGGAAGGTGGCTCAGTGGTAGAGTGCTTGCCTTGTATGCATGAGGCCCTGGGTTCAATTCCTCAGCACCACAGAAGCAGAAAAAGTTGGAAGTACTGCTGTGGCTCAAGTGGTAGAGCGCTGGCCTTGAACTGAAGAGCTGAGGAACAGTGCCCAGGCCCAGAGTTCAGGCTCCATGACCAACCAAAAAAAAAGTGTAGGAATATATATATATATATATATATATACACACACACACACACACACACACATACACACATATGTACTAAACATATGTAAACTATATGTACCACATATACCTTATATATACCTTATAACATATATATATACTACATATACCTTGGTATATATAGACTATATTTAGAGGCCACATAGAGTGTATTTGATTAACTGCTAACATTTTAGAAATGCATTTGTAATGGAAAACATAATAAATAGATAGCAAAATATATTATTTCAAAAAATACCTTTGGTCTATGTGTATTTCTGGCTCCTTGTTACATTTGTTCATTTATTTTTGCAGGTCCTGTCCCGGGACAATCTGTCAGTAGACAATTTAGTGAGTACCCCTGCCACTGTTTTTGTGTGTTTGTTTTGCTCCCAAATTTAAAATATTTTTGTGGGCTGGGAAGGTGGCTCAGTGGTAGAGTTCTTGCCTTGCATGCTTGAGGCCCTGGGTTCGATTCCTCAGCACCACATAAGCAGAAAAAGCCGGAAGTGTCACTGTGGCTCAAGTGGTAGAGCACTAGCCTTGAGCTGAATTGCTGAGGGACAGCGCCCAGGCCCAGAGTTAAGGCCCCACGATTGACCAAAAAAAAAATTGTGACTGCCAGAGTCTCTCCCATTTTCTTGTCAAGGCAAATAGGGATGTAAAAGAGATGTCTGGGCTTTTGAAATCCCCCTGAAGCCAGAGTAGCTTTATTTTACCCTCTGACCCTCCGTGGGTAAGGTGTTGAATGAACACCTGGCAGCTCCTGACCTTCACAGGCCCTGAACTTACTCCTATTGCAGATGGACTACCTACTTAGCCAGGCAGGACATCTTCATCTCTACGGTAAACATTCAGACTCTGAATGGAATCCCCTCCAATCAGCAGGCTGGGAAATTCCCTTGACAGCATCACACTATGGAGATGCCATCAGGAGCATTGCATTCTCTTTTAGGAGGAATATCCTGAAGGAAGTTAATGGAGAACAAAAGAACATCCAACAACTAGGCCATTAGAAAGAAAAAAGACATAAAAAGTTAACTATCGCCCACATTTCCTTAGCTCTGACTTATCATTATGACCTTTTGAGGTCAGAGAGTTTCTTGGATTTGGGGGAACTCATGAATAGCAAGAACTTTCTATAACTACTCTACCCACCCAACCTCAGCTTCTCCATTTCAATCATTGTCTTGGTCCAGAAGATGATTTGTCCATTCCCTGCTCTGCCACAATTATCTGCGATGACTTTTTTTCTGGTCATTTGAATTATCACTTATAAAACAGTTAGGCAAGTGGATTCCTCAAGCATTCTTTGGTGCTAAAATCTTATGATAAAATGATGTGTTCTTTTAGAGAAAATGCAATTTAACAATGGTTCTATAAGCCCCCATGAGTTTGTGAGCACAGCAATAGAGCAGGAACACTACCAGAATCAGCTAACTAACCATTGACATCACAGAGAACCCTGCTAATCTAATCCCCTGGAAACCATTTTGCTCATTATCATCCCTCAGCTAACACTCTAACCTGGGAGAGGTGAGGCCTGCCAGCTCACATGCAGCCCAGAGCCTCTCTGGGACTGTCCAAAGGCAGTCTTCCCATCTATCCCACAGGACCTTGAAGCTGAGACTCCGAATACCTCTGCCTTAAACTCATTTCTCTCTCCTCCTCAGCAGCTGCACTCAAATCTAGGATTTCTGTACAGCCTCCATGGACCAATTATTTTTCAGGAGACACAGTGACTCTGTCTTGCCACAAACCTGGCTTCTTGCTATATCAAATAAAATGGTACCATGGAGGCAAACTATTAAGCCACAATACTAATACGTTTCAAGTCAATGAATCTGGAAATTTCAAATGCCAAGCTGACAACTTACTTCCAAGTAAATCTGTGCACTTGGAGTTTTCCAATGGTAAGATGGAAGTAAAAGAAATAAAAACTTTCTAAATCATTTCATGCCCGTTTTCTCTGTAGCTGTTACTACTATTCACTTTGAACAACACAAGGATGAACAGTTTTATTCTGTGATTCCATATACAAGGAGGCCATTCCAAAGCTCTGTATAAAATCAGACAGGAAACAGAATTCGCTTCTCAAGTTTGAACATAAAAATTAAGGAAACAAATTAATTGGATGAAGTTCAGTCAGCCCAGTGGGTAATAGCTTTAAGTCATATATCTAAAAGGACATACTGGTCATATAATAGCTAAAGGTTATAGAGACTAAGGACTATAATCTCTATAGAGAGGATTAATACCTTCTACTCTTGTGCTCCTTCAAGTCTAATCATCTGCATCACAAAGTTTGGGCAGCTTTTTAACTATGCAGATACTTGGGAACAACCCTATATTTACTGTGTCAAAATCTGTAGAGGCCCAAGAATCTGAAGCTTTTACAAGCCACTCATGTAAAAAGAAAATTTTGAGAACTAATTTATTTGAACTCTTCCTGATTCATTAAAAACTGTTCATTAAAATGTATTTCAAGCCAGTTTACTAATTAGAAAAATAAATAGGATGAGAATATTTCAAATTTAGCAATAGAGATGGATTATAGAGAAGTATAAGACAGATTGATTGATATACATATACCAAGGAGAAAGAGGAAAAGGTATTTCTTCTATTTTCATAGAAGCACGTGTTTTTAGAGTTGAGTAATATAATCTTTGTTATAATACACGTTAATTTCATGAACAATGGAGAAATGTAGTAACAAAGAGAAGGAAGAAAAGCTTAGTGTGTGGGGGGGTATGTGATGTTGCTGGAGTTTGAACCCAGGATCTAAGAAATGTCCCTTAGATTTTGCACTAAAGGCTAGTGCCTTAGTGCTCTGCCACTTGAGTCATAGCTCCACTTCTGACTTTGTTGATTATTTGGAGAATATAGTATCCCAGACTTTTCTGCTTTTGCTGGCTGGCTTTAAACTGTAATCTTCAGATCTAAGCTTCCTAAGTGGCTAGGAGGTACTCAGCTACTTATTCTTTTTGATCTAACAATTCCCCTTATACATAACCCAAATGTGGAAGACTCTAACTGATTAAGAAAAGAAAATTTATTATATAAACTCTGTTACTTCGTTGAAGAAAACTTCATGGCCATTGAAAAGCAGTCAGTAATGAAACTAGTGACCTCCCTAAATCTTATAGCACAGTCAGTAAAGGTAAACTATCTAATATATACACATTATTCCTATTCCCTAAAAATGGAAAAGAATACACAAAAATTCACATATGTGCATATAAAAAGAGGAAAGCAAAAAAGATATATGTCAAATTTACAGAACAACCAGAAGCTCACACTTATAATTAATCATAGCTACTTACGAGGCTGAGATCTGAGGTTGCTGTCCAAAGCCAGCCAGGACAGCAAAGTCTGTGAGAATCTTATCTTAATTAACAACAACAACAACAACACACACACACACACACACACACACACACACACACACACACACACACCAGAAGTGGAGTTGTCGGTCAAGTAAGAGAACATCCCTGAGCAAAAATGTTATAGGACAGTGCCCTGGCCTTGAGTTCAAGCCCAGTGCTGTACAGAAAAAGCCAATAAAAACAAAACAAAATTACTGGAGGTGAGATAATAGGTACTTTTTACTTACCTTTCTGCTTTCCAACTTTTCTCAAAGTACATGTTCATTTGAACAGAAAAAAACAGAAGTAATAAGAGTCATTTCTCCCAATTCTCTTTCCTATAATGCCTAATTGAAAGTCACACCAAAAATCCTAGCTACTCAGGGGGCTGAAATCTGAGGACCGTGGTTCAAAGCCAGACCAACTAGGAAAGTCCATGAGACTCATATCTCCAATTAACTACTAAAAAGCCAGAATTTTGCGGGGAGGGGGTGGATTTTGGGGAGGGAAAGTGGGAGAAAAACAAGGGAATAACAATGTCCTACAAGAAATATACTCACTACCTTCTGTATATAACTGTAACCCCCTCTGTACATCACCTTGATAATAAAGTTAAATGTTTTAAAAAGCCAAAAGTGGAACTATAGCTCAAGTGGTAGAGTGGTAGCCTTGAGTGAAAGAAAACTAAGGGGCAGCTCACAGGCCTTGAGTTCAAGCCCCAGTACTTGCACACATACACTCATATATACACATACATAGATACACGCACTTGTGAGCACACTCACACAAAGTCTAATTGGCATAATAATGAAAAGCAAGAAGAAACAACAATGTGATGAAACAAATTTGATCTTGTGTTTCCTACAGCTCAGCTGATCCTACAGGCTCCATTTGAGGTGTTTGAAAGAGACTCTGTGGTTTTAAAGTGTCAGGAAAAGAAACGAACATCAAGGAGTAATATAACATTTTACAGGAATGGCCAGCATTTACCACATCAAGGAACTGAGTACCACATTCAAAATGCAGGTCTACAGCACAATGGTGACTATCGCTGTAACAACAGATATGCTTCTTCCAACAAGGTCAAAATCCAAGTCCAAGGTAAAGCTTTCATTATTTAGTGAGGGGTATTAGACAAAAGGAACATTGTAGAGATAGAACATGAGGTTGTAGAGATAGGACAGGAAGAATATGGTAGACTGGGACACTAGAAAGAAGTGCAGCAGCTTTCTACTGAAGGATGTCAGAAACAAGAAGTGGTGTCCCTTGGCTGGGCCTTGGTGGTTCACACTTGTAATCCTAGCTATTATATTCCTAGAAGCTGAGATCTGAGGATCAAAGTTCAAAGCCAACCTAAGTAGGAAAGTTCATGAGACTCTTATCTCCAACTAACCACCCAAATGTCAGAAGTGGAGCTATTGCTCAAGTGATAGAGCTCTATTGTTGAGCATAAAAGCTAAGGGACAGCTCCCAGGCCTTAAATTTAAGCCCCAGTACTGGCCAAAATGAAAAATAAAATAAATGGCATCCCTTTCTTGCCTGTTTTTTGGAGAATGTGGTGCCATAACTCTGCTTGCTGGTGCTGAGGGTAAACTGTGGTTTTTCCAGAACCTTTCTAAGCTTCATTGCTGTGGGAACTGTTGTGTTTCTTCCCCTAGAACTGTTTCCGCGTCCTGTGCTACTTGCTAGACCTTCCCAGCCCACAGATGGAAGCCCAGTGAACCTCACCTGTGACACCCAGCTCTCGCCACAAAAATCAAATGTCCAGCTCAAGTTTTGCTTCTTGAAAGATAACCTGATTTCTAGGCAAGTCTGCAGCCAAGACCCAGAGTATCACATTCCTGCCATAAGGAAAGAAGATTCAACGTCTTACAGATGCAAGGCAGGGACTTCCAATATTTGGAAAACCAGCCGTCCATTCCAAATTCCTGTGCAAAGTGAGTACTGAGATTTGTACGTCGGGGGATGGGGAAAGGGGGATTGTGGAGATACACATCAAGTCTTAAAGACAAGAAAAAACTAAAGGACAAACAGCTGGGGGAATGAATAAATGCCTCACAGGGATATTGCTTTTTCCTAAGTTCCTAAAATTGTGTAAGCTCTTAAGCAAGATTGTTAACCAATGGCCAAAGGCTCTACCTGACTTAATTTGGTCTTCCCAGGAAATCTATTTGAGCATTAGAAAGGGACACATAGTTTGAGATATCCACTTTCCTAAGTGAGGAGGAAATGCTGAAGGTGATAGCATTTCCCATAAATGTATTCCTATTCCTAAAGTTAAAAAAAACCCACAGCATAGTAATCTGTTAAAGGAAACAGGTGTAGGGTGTTTGTTTTCTTATACAGGTACTGGGACTTGAACTCAGGGCCTTGTGTTCTCCCTTAGCTTTTTTAATCAAGGCCGGTGCTCTACCACTTGAGCTACACTTCTACTTTCAGTTTTGGGGTGGTTAATCAATCCTCAGATCTCAGCCTCCTGAGTAGCTAGGATTACAAGCATGATCCACTGGTTCTTGACTGGAAACAGATGTTTTTAAGGTCACTGGTTTAAGGAAGAACAATTCACACAGGTGGGCATCAAGTTTCCAATGATTAGTACACAACAATTTCTAGCTTAGCCTCTTCCTCAGCACAGTTGATGAAATTCCACCCATTGCCCCTTCTTCTTCTCTGTTCAGTTTACATCCTTTGTCCTTAAGACCTGAGAATAACTCCAAAGACACTGTCTTTGTCATCATTACCTGAAATCATACCCATCACGGATTACCCTACTTAATGGGGACAATCTGACCTCATCTCCTTTGATCATGCTACAGAAGAAATGCTGTTCAAGAGCCAGGTACAATGGCTCATGCCTGTAATCCCCATTACTCAAGAGATAGAGATTGGGAAGTTTCAGGTAAGCTCTAGCAAAAAAAAAGTTAGCCAGATCTCATTTTGACAAAAACAAAACGTTGATCATAATGGAACTGTCTTGTAAACCCATCTGTATGAGAGGTGTAAGTTGGGTCATTGTGGGCCAGGCTGGCCTGGGGGGGAAAAATACCTATCTGAAAAATAACTAAAACAGAAAGGGTTTGGGACTTGACTCAAGGGGTAAAGTGCCTGTCTAGCAAGTGTGAGGTCTTGAATTGAAGCCCTAGTTTTTTTGGGGTTTTTTTTGGGGGGAGGTCCAGTCATGGGGCCTGAACTCTGGGCCTGGGCGCTGTCCCTCAGCTCTTCAGCTCAAGGCTAGCGCTCTACCACTTGAGCCACAGAGCCACTTCTGGCTTTTTTTCTTTTTGCTTATGTGGTGCTGAGGAATCAAACACAGGGCTTCATGCATGCAAGGCAAGAGCTCTACCACTGAGCCACCTTCCTAGCCCTGTGAAGCCCTAGTTTTTTAAAAATTGTTTGCTCTAGGGTGAGGTTACTCTTCATGTCAATGTCTCATTTCTAATTAGACAGTGCAGTTGCTATTTTCCCCTGATGCCAAATCTTCCTGTCCACTTCATACCCCCATATGCCCCAACTTTGGTGCAGCTGGTGACCTCTTTGCAATGGCTGATCTTGCTCTATCGGGGAGGGGTGGATATGAGGGCAGGCTGGGCAGGGTTGCTTCTACTCCTGGATAGACTCTTTACAAGCCCTAGAAAGAGTCGGGGGTCCTCCCAGACAGCTATGGGCTGAAGTTTCCCCACCTTCCTCCTTCTTCACGAGAGTAAGCCTAAATCTACCCCAGACCAACTTCCCACAGCAGATTTTACCCTCTGGCTCTTTTCCATCCATAAAGCCACTCACTGTTAAGAGTCCCATGTGTGTCATTTTTCTTAGGAGTTTGGCCAACATCCAAATACACATATTTCTAGCCCTAGAGTTGGTGTTTGAAGGGCAGGAATTGGTGTTCTTCTGCTCAGTAGAAGGGGTCCCAAGACTCAGCAAAGTCTGGTACAAAAGAGGCAAGCAGCATGAACAAAGATGTACTTGTCCTCAAAAGCAAAGTTGAGGAGGTCCATGGTGAGAAGTAACAATGCTCGGGTATATTCCTGGGAAGCCAACAACGTTGCCAGCAATCCATGGACCAAAGTGCCAGGTGTCACTCAAAGAATCAGTTATCAAACCACACCTGAGGATCCTTAAGGAAGACCACAGGTAGGGAGGAATTCACATTAAATATAAAGACCCAATGAGTCACCAATAATTCAATGTTCTGAATCATCTGCCAAAGACAAGAAGGGAAGAGTTAGGTCTGGAAGGGGCCATGGGCACAATCCATTAGAAATGAGCTCTGACCACCAAAGCCCTCCCCAGGATCAGTTGTGTGCTCTCCATGGACTACAGGCGCCATCTACTCCCTCCCTGACTTCCTCTTCCTCTTCTTACATAGAAATGCAAGAGTGAGTGTGGGTTCAGGGAGAACTCAGAAGTAGAAAAGAGGTCCTTGCAAGACTATGTGGGTTAAGGACAGAGCCCTCAGGCCAGCCAGAGTAAAGAGAAATAGAGAACAAGAGGCTGAAAAGGAAGTTCAAAATGGTAGGAAGGAAAGGGTAGGGTGGGGAGGGTTTTCCCACAATGGTGGATCAAGGGAGAAAGAGGAAAGAGCTGATGGAGGAAAACATGAAGCTGGTGGCCGCAAAACACGCGATGTCTCCCCTGAGGAAGTCCTCTCCTCTGCCAAATGGAATTGTCACTTCAACAAGGGGCCTCTGGAGGAAAGGAGCTAGAAGTCTGAAGGGAAAGGATGAGGTTAGACAAGAACAGCAAGATAGGGGCGGGTTAGAGCTGTTGGAGATGCTGAGGAGGTTGCTAGGCTGCCCACACAACCAAGGGAGACAGGAGCTTTGCACTGACCACAAATGGAAATCTACAGAAAGGCAAAATAGCTGGTCTTTGGTTTTCTTTCCCTCAGTTCCTGTGTCTCTGCCTGTCCTCACCCTCAGCACCGCTAAGGCCAAAGCTCTGGAGGGAGACATGGCAACACTGCACTGTGAAGCCCAGAGAGGCTCTCCACCCATCTGGTACCAGTTCTATCATGAGAATGTCCCCCTGGGGAGCAGCACAACCTCCTCTATAGGAGGAGCATCCCTCAGCTTCTCTCTGACCACAGAGCATTCTGGAAAGTACTACTGCACAGCCAGAAACCATCTGAGGCTCCAGTACAGTAAGGCTGTGAGCCTCTTTGTCATTGGTAAGCTCTGGGTTCTGGCCAGTTCTTGATATTGGTCAAAGACCCTTGGATGAACTTTCTTCCAAGCCGGTCTCTACGTAGTTTTCGTAGTGTGGGGATGTTGACTGTTTGATGCGTGTGCTATGATTCTCTACCTACTATTTTGCTTTTCATCATGTGCTGTGCACAGCTTTCCAGGTTGGTGAACATGCAGGTGTCGACACATATTCACTCATGGTAATGGCTGTGCAGTATATGTCACCTTACCCATATATTTTAATCTATTTTACAAGTCTACTCTTGATAGCTATATAGGTTGTTTCCATGTTTTCATTATTCTTTTAATTGTTTTTTCTTTTTTATTAGCATGAGTTAATTGTGCAAAGTTGTAATAAAGGGGCAAGTCTGTGTTATAATGTACTGAACATTTTTAGAAGTATGGCGTAGATTCAGAAAAGAATACAAATCCTAGTTGTATAACTCCTGGTTACCAGTGTAACTATCACCAAGGTGCCAATTGAGGAGCAAGATTGCTTCTGTTTACACTAGGACCTTTGTTGTAAGAGAATAATATCCTGTTCCTTTTTAGAGTAACGGGATAGCTACAGTTTAAAAAAAATCTCAGGTCTGGCATGTCAGACTATTTCCCATCACAAGAATACAGGCTCAGGTGATGCTGTGGGTAAGACTTTGTTAGAAGACTATCCAGGGAGAAAGAAACATAGGAAAGATTGTTTGGAAGCCAGATTGAAGAATTAAAAGATACCCCCAGAATATAATGTATTCTCAAAACACCCAAAAGACTTTAAAGTCAGAGCTCTCAAGCTCAATGCTCCATTTAATGTTTTATTATCTTCTGGCACTTAATGGTATCTACAACCCCTTTACTTCTGTTTTCTTTTCTGTCAGCAAACTGTGAAAACAAGACAGTCCCAGTCTAGGTCTCCCTACATCCCTGTGCATGACGTAAAGCAGGAGCTCAGTCAGCATCTGTAATTCAATGAACAAAAAGAGGCTGAGGTGAGATGAGACACGAAGAGTGAGAGAAAACAGTGATCTTTGCACCTTCTTATATCAACTGACCAGAACTTACAAACTTTAGCAAACAAGTTGTCTATGAACTGGAAACTTTTACTGTGAGTCAGACAGACTTTCTGGCAGAAAAATCTGCATTATTTGAAAGACTGGGGCCCAATCCAAGGACACAGATTGATTTCAGGTCTATTGACAGTCCTGTGGTTCCTGAACACATTGCACACACACACACTATTCCAACAGCAAATATCAGACCCTGAATTATAACTTCATTCATTGCAGGATAAGTGAAAAGCAAAACACTGTGTTCGCTGTAATAATCTTTGCATGTCTTCATTTAAAATTGTAAAGGGAAGTCTCTTTGCCATACCAACTTCCTTTCCTTTTGACGCACATGTAGAAGTGGGCTAGCTATATCATATTGGAGTTCTATTCTTAGTTTTTCTTGAGCCTCTACTTCACTTTCCATAATGACTACACTAATTTACATTCTACCAAGAGTGTATGAGAATTTCCTTTTTTCTGTATCTTTGCCAGCTCCTGTATATATGTATAATCACCATTTTAACTGAGCTGAGATACTGTGTTGTGGTTTGATTTGCATTTTGTTAATGATTCATGAGCATTTTATATACTTTTTGGCTATTTGTACATTATCCTTTTGAAATAGAAAGGTTACTCAGATTATTTCCCCAGTTTTGATTGAGTTATTTATTTTTGAGTGTTGAGTTGTTTGAGAGCCTTGTCTACTTTGTATATCAATCCCTTGTCAGATGAGTCCTTTGCAGATATCTTTTGTTCCACACATTGTCTCTTCATTCTGTTTATTGTTTTCTTTGCTGAACAGAAGTCTTATAATTTGATAGGATCCCATTTTTAAAATAAGACCCTAAAAGTAAGTAAAGTAGACAAATTGAGGACATTACATTAGTGAAATTAGTCAAGCACAGAAAGACAAATACTTCATGTTATAATTTATATGTGGGAGATAAATTAGTTGATCTCATAAATTAGAGACCAGAATTGTAGTTACTAGAAGCTAGGTGCAGGGGATGGAGCCAGGTAGTTAATGGGAACAGAGGTGCAAGGAAATAGGACAAATGTCATATAGCACATCAACAGGATAGCAAAGATTAACACAATTCATAGACAGAACTTGAAATGTTCCCAAGACAAAGAAATGATCAATGAATAAAACAACTACCCTGATGTGAACATTACACATCCTATAAATACATTGAAATATTATACTATACCATATTGTATATGTGTGTGCTTGTGTGTAAATTAAAAGCAAATCTATATGTACACATATGAAGAACACATAACACTTTTGTGAGGAAGAATTTCTATAGAAAATGAAAACACTTCTAAATATTCTCAATATAATTGAAGTAAGTTTAAATATTAAAAATGAGTTAACAGGGATCAAAGAAGATATGACAATATAATAAGAGATCACACAAATGATCTAGCAGAACTTAGGAGAAATTAATAGCAAAGCTATTTTAGACTAAAATCTAAGTTTAAAAAGTAAGAAACCTATTTGCACTGTCAACTAAATGAAGAATCAGTCTGAGAAGTACAAAATGCAAACCGAAAATACAGAAATAATTGCAAAAAGTGTAATATGGGCACTAGATAATATATATCCCATAGATGGAGTTAAGTGTTTCTTACCCACATACAAGATATATAGTTAGAGTTAAGTCAGAAAACCAAACTAAAGCCAGGCACTAGTGGTTCATACCTGTAATCCTAGTTACTCAGGAGGCTGAGATCTAAGGATTGCAGATTAAAGCCAGCCCCATCAGGAATGTCCATGAGTCTCTTATCTCCAATTAACCACCAGAATACCTGAAGTGGCACTGTGGCTCAAAGAGGTACAGCACTAGCTTTGAGCAGAAAAGAGCTCAGGGACAGCACCCAAGCCCCAAGTTCAAGCCCCATGACTGACAAAAAGAAAAAGAAAGAAAAAAAACCAAACTGAAGACAAAACAAAACTCAAAGATAGAATTTCAAAAATGTCTTAAACTTGAATGTGTGCATCAAAAGATAAATGCTAATGAGGCTATTACACTTCAAACTTAAGAGGTATGAATAAGACACACACACACATACACACACACACACACACACACACACACACTGCAGGTAGAGGAGACCAAATGTCTAATAGAGGCAACTTCTGGAAAACAAAAATAAGAGAAATGGTAGAATTTTTCATTTTTATCCTATAAAATTCTTTAGTGTTTAGTTCTTTTTGAAGTAGGAGCTGTTTTTGATTAAAAACAACATAACACCAGTGTCAACTAACCCATTTCTTTCCTCAGTTCCGGTGTCCCAGCCTACCCTCACCCTCAGGACTCCCAGGACCCAGGCAGTGGTAGGGGACATGATTGAGCTTCACTGTGAGGCCCCGAGAGGCTCTCCCCCCATCCTGTACCAGTTTTACCATGAGAACATAATCCTGGGGAGACACACAGCCCCTTCTGGAGGAGGAGCATCCTTCAACCTCTCCTTGACTGCAGAACATTCTGGAAATTACCTCTGTGAAGCTACCAATGGCCAGGAGGCCCAGCGCAGTGTCACAATAACACTCAATGTCATCGGTATGTGCAGCCCAAGGGTCAGAGCAGCCCCCACCCCCTGCAGTTGGAAGGGCTGCAGCTCAGGCTCTCAAGAGCTGCCTGCTGTACCACATCGCAGGCCTGCTGCCTGCGCAGCCTCCCTGTGGAGTCCAGTTTTACATGCTGCAATGGCAGCTTGCCTTTGTTAGCTGCACCCTTCAGCCATTTCAGCTTCAAATCCCCTAACAGAGGAGTAGTCTTTTCAAAGTACAAACTATATTCTGGTGATTTGTGATCAATAAGAAATGAAAGCCGGGCACCAGTGGCTCACATCTGTCATCCTAGATACTCAGGAGGCTAAGATCAGAGGATCATGGTTCAAAGCCAGCCTGGGCAGGAAAGTCCATGAGACTGTTATCTCCAATTAATCACCAGAAAACTAGAAGTGGTACCATGACTCAAAGTGGTAGAGAGCTAGCATTGAGGGAAAAAGCTCAGACCCACGGGCTGGGAAGGTGGCTCAGTGGTAGAGTGCTTGCCTTGCATGCCTGAGGCCCTGGGTTCGATTCCTCGGCACCACATAAGCAAAAAGAAAAAAGCCAGAAGTGGCGCTGTGGCTCAAGTGGTAGAGTACTAGCCTTGAGCTGAAGAGCTGAGGGACAGTGCCCAGGCCCAGAGTTCAGGCCCCACGATCGTACCCCCCCCCAAAAAAAAAGCTCAGACCCCGAGTCAAGTTCTATGACTGACCAAAAAGGAAGGAAGGAAGGAAGGAAGGAAGGGGGGAAAAGGAAGGAAGGAAGGAAGGAAGGAAGGAAGGAAGGAAGGAAGGAAGGAAGTTCAGTGTGTTTCAGTTCAGAAGAGATTTATCTGTAGTTTTCTATCAATATAAAGGCCAATACATTACTGGCTCACATATTTCTCCTTCTGCCGGAAAGGCCTGGATTTCCCCTGAGGACTACTTATGGAAGATGTCCCAACCTCATTCTCTTGCTTTCTTACTGTTTAACAGTATCACTGTGTCCCTCTGTTCACAGTCTGACCACTCAGCGGTGCCCACTACCAATGCAGGCTTCAGCACCTCACTCAAACCTTCCTTTCTGCTCTACATTCTGTCATCATCGTATGACTGCAGTGTCCATTTGTGTGACCCAACCCCCACTTCTCCATATACATTCCTACATACTCCCACAGCTCCATTATAAGCACTTGTTTTCTGATTACAACTTCTTACCTTTCAATTTGTTTTAACACTCCTATCACTATTATTCTTATACCTCAATGGAACCTCTAGTTCACTAACACCTCCATTCTGTCCCTAATTCAACAGACAAAACAAACAATACCACATTGATTCCCAACACCAAATTCAGTATCTCTGTATCTACCTAATAAACCAACCTTCCTCTTCCTAAAGTTCAGAGAAGAGGATTCTGTTCCCTGTGTCAGGGCATAGCTCAGATCATCTAATCTCTACATTCCATTTTTTCCTGAATCCTCAGGAACTGGTAATATAGACAGGGTCTCATGCTTATGCTAGGCAAGTATTCCATCACTTGAGCAATGCCCCCAGCCATTCTCAGAAAATAATTACACCCTTTCTATTCTATAGTTCTCAACATATCCCTACTTGTAACACCACTTCATTGGCATTTAACATGCTGCATTTCTTCTATGACTAATAGAAAAAAAACATAATTTGATCCTCATCTCACTGAGCACCTTGCATCTTCCTTTGGCTCCACCCACTCCTGTCTCATAACTAAACTTCTGAACAGTCTGTCACCCAGGTTGTCTCCATTTCCTCATTACATACTAGGTTCTAACCTATTAGGGTCTTCTGGCCTCTCCATCAAAATGATCTCACAATGATCATCAACAATTCCCGATGTATTTAGATCTAATGGCTAGTTTCCAATCCTTGCCTTACTTAATTTCTCCAAAGTATTACTTAAAAAAAATCATTCCTTCTGGGCTGGGAAGGTGGCTCAGTGGTAGAGCGCTTGCCTTGCATGCATGAGGCCCTGGGTTTGATTCCTCAGCACTACATAAGCAGAAAAAAAAAGCCAAAAGTGGCTCTGTGGCTCAAGTGGTAAAGCGCTAGCCTTGAGCTGAAGAGCTCAGGGACAGCGCCCAAGCCCCACAACCAACAAAACAAAACAAAATCATTCCTTCTTTTGTAAAACTGTCCTTTCCTTGGCTTCAGTGACTCTATCACTTTCAGCTTTTCTCTCTTCTGACAACTCTCTCGGTCTTTACTAGATACTCCTTTTACAGATTGCTTTTAAGCACTGGCATGTTCCAGAGCTTTGATCCTGTGTATATTGTATATAAAAGGTGCTGGCATCTCTAATGATTCCCACCTGAGCACCTGGGCATGCCACTCACATTTCTCAAAAACTCATCATAGGCTGGGAAGGTGGCTCAGTGATAGAGTGCTTGCCTTGCATGCACGAGGCCCTGGGTTCAATTCTCAGTACCAGGTAAGCAAACAAGAAAAAGCCGGAAGTGGGGCTGTAGCTCAAGTGGTAGAGCTGAAGAGCTGAGGGACAACACCCAGGCCCAGAGCTCAGGCCCCATGACTGACATACCCCCCCAAAAATTTTTTAATGTTTTTTTTATTGTAAAGATACTATACAGAGGGTTACATGAGTGAGGTAATGAGTACACTTCCTCTTGAACATCAACCTAAATATCTGTCATATGGGACTCTTGACCTTTTTCTCAGTCCTGTCTTTCCCAAGTGACCCTGGCTCTGTGAAAGATCCCTCCATCCATCTAAATATACACTAAATATCCAAGTGCATCCATTGACATCTTTCTCCCTCACTGCTCATAGCCAGTCCTATTGATTTTACTTCCTAAATATTTCTAGATCTTTTTTCTATCTCTATTGTTACTATCCTAGTCAAATCCACTATCATTTTTAACTATTTTGATGTCACCTAAATACCCATCTATCCCAATTCTGTCCCTGCCAGAGAAGGGTTTTGCTGAGGTCAAAATGGTCTTTCCATTACTTAATGGAAAAGGATAAAACACACAGCCTACTTTACACAGCTCTGCCTAGCTCTCCAGCCTGGCACTCTTTGTGCACTTTTCTTCCTTCCTTCCTTCCTTCCTTCCTTCCTTCCTTCCTTCCTTCCTTCCTTTCTTTCTTTCTTTTTTTTGGTCAGTCGTGGGGCTCAAACTCTGGGCCTGGGCACTGTCCCTCAGCTCTTCAGCTCAAGGCTAGCGCTCTACCACTTGAGTGACAGCGCCACTTCTGGTTTTCTGGTGGTTTATTGGAGATAGGAGTCTCACAGTCTTTCCTGCCCAGGCTGGCTTTGATCCGAGGTCCTCAGATCTCAGCCTCCTGAGTAGCTAGGATTACAGGTGTTAGCCACCAGTGCCCGGCTGGACACTTTTCTTATATTACTGCTGCCATGTCATTCCAATAACTAAAATGTGTCCAAATTCTTCTCAACTGGGGCTTTGCACATACTGCTTGCCTGCCTGCCAGCCTCTTCCCTTTCCTCTTCACATAGTAAATGTTAAAGTCCCTTCATGAAGATGCTTCTCCTGATTAATCCCTCTTAGATCAGTTCCCAGTGTTATACATTTCATAGCGCCCTGTCTTTATTTTGTAGCAATTATCTATCTAATTCTATTTTTGTGTTTTTATTCAATTGCTGTCTACCTTTTCTTCAGAATGTTAGATTCCATAAGAACAGAGCCTATGTCTTTCTGATCACTGAATTCCTACCATTCAGATCAGTTATTGGAACTTATTGTTTACTTGTTAATTTTAAGTGAATGAATATGAGAACAAGTGACCAATACTCAATTCTCATGTGGACCCCATTTCTAACTCAGTTATACTCATGACTAAGTAAACAATAGCTCTCTTCTGTCCCTCATTTCCTATGGAAGCAACTTCTCTTTCTGTCAAATGCCTCAGTTTCAGTGTAACCCATGTTTTGAATTTGAATTTATATATCTAATTACTCTAAGCTACATATATATGTATATATATACATATATGTATATATATATATATTACTACATAAATATTCTCCTTTCCCAAGATTTCTATGAAGAAATCATAGATGCATTCTAAATAGTATCACAAGATATTACAAACTACACTTCCCATTAGAAGTGTCTTTAGTGTGGAAAAACACCTTCAAACAGAAGGAGCTGATGGCTGTCTTTCCTCCCTTAGTTCCGGTGTCCCACCCTGGTCTCACACTCAGGATGCCCAGGACCCAGGCTGTGGTGGGGGACACGGTGGAGCTTCACTGTGAGGTGCTGACAGGCTCACCTCCAATCCAATACCAATTTTACCATGAGAACGTCAACCTGGGAAACAGCTCAGCCCTCTCTGGAGGAGGAGCATCCTTCAACCTCTTTCTGACTGAGGAACATTCTGGAAACTATTTTTGTGAGGCCAGTAATGTTGCTGGAGCCCAGCAGAGTGAGGCAGTGAGCATCAAAGTTATAGGTGAGTTGGCTCCGCCCGCTAGTAGCAGCAGCAGCAGCAGATTGATGGTGTCTTTTCTTCCTAACAGCTGAGAATGAAGCGGAGGTGCTCCTCAGAGCTGCTTTCTGGAATGAAGATCCTGCTTAGTCCTGGCTATAGAGCCTCTTCTTGGAAGTGCAGGGTCTTACCTGTTAAACTTTTTCAGGAACCTGGACTTTCCCAGTAGCATTATTCAAACAACTTTGAGTTCTGATCAAAATTCCTCAATAAAAAAAAAAATAGGAAGAATTTTTTTAGGAGATAGACTATTTTCTGATGTGAAAATTATGACATAAAAAAGTAACCAGAGAATGTATAAATAGTAGTTGTTCTGCTCTCTGAATAACAGGCTCTTCCTTGTCAGGCTCCTAGTAAGCCTCTACTCATAAACATCCTCCATTACTGGGAAATAACTGTTACTTACATACCATATTTTAAAAGTATATTAATACTAGCTATAGGCACAGATATAAGGAGAGACACTCGGTGATCTTCAAAGGCAGAGGCACAGGTAAGGAGGGCCGAGATTGACTTCTATTTCTTCATCCACAAAGTGGGAAAATCACACTACATAGAAAAATCCTGGTCATCTCTTGACCTAGAAGTCCATGAGTTTTATAGACAGGGAATATGGAGTGTGCAGCCTCAACTAAGGGATGTATGCAAAGGGAAAAGCTGATTCTTCCTGCCTCTGGAAAACAGAAATAGGAGACCATGCATTGGATGCAAATACAAAATAACACAAAGCAAAATACAGGGTAGGAATATTGGCTCCTCTTGGTTGATTCCCTGGGTGTCATAAGTCATAGAGACAAAGTTAAATGAACAAGGTGTTTGTGGAGTGCTAGCTCAAACCCAACCTACTCAATTGATTGCTGCAGCCATCCCTGCATCCAAGAGGTGACTTGAGTTCAGAATTGACTTCTCTTAGTGCTGAGATTCCAAGCTGCATCTCCACAACATGTTCTCTGTACAACTATGTTGGATATGGTATTAAGAGTTGGTTTGGGGAGTCCAAGTTTGTATCTTTTATAAATTAGGTATATATCATCAAATAACTATATTATATAAGTGTCTTCAATTTGCATTCCCACCTAGGAGTTTATGTACAACCTCACCAGTGTAACCAGTGCCAAACTGGTGAAAAGGAAAAAGAATAACATTTTACAGTTGTGATCATTTATACTTATTTAATTAATCATGGGGTTGAAATTTCTTTTATATATTTATGGACTACTGGAAGTTCTTAGTGATTCATATATACTTTTTTAAACTCTTCTATTGAATATTGCTGTATATGAAAAGGTTTTTGTAGGTCAAAGAGATTCGTTTTATCTATCATATGTGTTTTCAACCATTTTCCAGGATTGAAAGCTTATTTCATTTGCTTGTAGTATTTTTTTCTTCCTTATAAATACATTAGAAACAGAAACCACCATTGAAGTTTTCTCTTTTTATCTCTCTCTCTCTCTCTCAGTTCCAGTGTCCCGCCCTGTCCTCACCCTCCGGGCACCCAAGGCCCAAGTTGTGGTGGGAGACGTGGTGGAGCTTCTCTGCGAGGCCCTGAGCGGCTCGCCCCCCATCCTGTACCAGTTTTATTATGAGAATATCACCCTGGGGAATAGCTCAGCCCCTTTTGGTGGAGGAGCATTCTTCAACTTTTCTGTGACTAGAGAACATTCTGGAAACTACTCCTGTGAGGCCAATAACCGCCTGTGGGCTCAACAGAGTGACAAGGTGACACTTTTCGTCACAGGTATGTTTCCTAATACGCCTAAGCCACAGATAGGAACCACATATTTTCTTTAAGAACACTGGTAATCTTCATCATGCTTATCCAGGACAGTGTTCTCAGGGACAAGTAGACAGAGCGAGTAGCTCTCTATACTGTTGTAGTAAAGTGTTTCTGTAATGTTGGGGGATGGGAAACATGGCACAGAGCATCCCCGAGATTAGAGCTCATCAGATGCTTGCTTCTCCCTGGCTGCCATCCATCTTGACTCTCAGACATACAGACAAGCTTCTTCACACAGATAGGAGCCATTTACTGTGCCACACAGCTCCTGCTGAGACTAGTCTCTCTCCTCTCCCCTCTCCCCCTCCCCCGCTTCTCTCTCTCTTTCTCTCTGTCACACACACACACACACACACACACACACACACACCTCTCCCTCTGCCTTTCCCCCTTCTCCTCCCCCCTTTTCTCTCCTTCCCTACTCAGCTTTAGGACTCAGGGCAGTTCAAGACCACAGTTTCTCCCTTGGGTTTATGTATGGAGTCTTCCCCTCAGGGTTGACGGGAGACAGAAGTGGTTCTGTGGCTGCAGGACTCACTGGGGTGTTGCTCAGCATGGTGGTCCTGGCTGCTGGCGCATTGCTGTTCCATTGTTGGCTCTCAAGAAAAGCAGGTGGGTAGCACCCTAGAGCACCTTGGCTTGATCCACACCTTTTCCATCTCCATTCCCTCAGCTTATGCTAACTGTATGATTCACCCCTGTCCCCCAAGCTCTCAGGAGTTTCTCCTCTCCTGTCTCACAGCCCCTCCCTTTCCTTCTGGATCCCTCAGAGGGAAAGATTGGAGGAAACATACTCTAATGAGATGTCATTTGTCCAACATCATGAATGACAGTTCATCTCCCTAATACAAAACCCCAAGAAATGGGAAGAGGAAGATTGAGAAACAGCAGTAAAAACAAAAACTAAACTTACTGATTTCTAAATCTACATTCCTGCCTGCAGCTATTGAATCATGTGTGTTTTTCAAGGCCTATTGCCCTTTTAAACCCTTTTCTTTTATTAGCATATAATTATTTTAGAAAGGCATTCCATTGGGATAGTTCCATACATGCATTTAATGTACTTTGATAAAAAATCACTTTATAACTCTCTCCCATCCTCCTTCCCCACTTTTTAACATTTTTCCTTTTTCTAATGAGTTTATTAGAAAATTAGTATAAGGAACAAATGAGTATATATATATATATATATATATGTATCAGTAATAGTGATTCAGACAAAACAGTTTAGTGATTTTAAAGTAATATGGATATGTATTTGCATATGATATATATTAAATTTCATAGTAATAAACACATGTAAATCAAAGAAAACCTGAAGTATAATTTATCAAACTTTAGAAAAAATCTCTCAAGGCCTCGTGCTTACTAGCAAGTGTTCTATCACTTAACATTTTTTAATGGACTTCATTATTGTATTTTTATATATGTATATAAAGTACTCTGACCAAAGGTCATTGCCTTTAATGCTCCAAGTTAAAGGACTGTGGATTGTGGGCTAGGAAGGTAGTTCAGTGGTAGATGCTTGTCTTGCATGCATGAGGCCCTGGGTTTGATTCCTCAGCACTACATAAGCAGAAAAAGCTGCAAGTGGCACTGTAGCTCAAATGCTAGAGCACTAGCCTTGAGCTGAAGAGCTGAAGGACAGTGCCCAGGCCCAGAGTTCAGGCCCCATGACTGACAAAAAAAAAAAAAAAAAGGCTTGTGCATTGTTACTCCCCTTTCACATAGTAACTACTACCATCCTGGAGGTCAAGGTCAGTAGTTTCATAGTTCTTGTCCCTTCTACAACCTCCCTTGGGCATAACAAAGGATTGTGACATCAGTAATAGCATCTGGTAGTGATCTGAGTGTCCTCGAGCTGTGCCCCCTGAGAAAACATCCTTTTCTGGAATCTAATGCCTCTGTGTTTTCCTTTGCAGGTAGAATGCCTGCCTCTGACCCCACCAGGTAAGACCTTGGTAGTATTTCTGTACAGTTAATGCAATTTCCATAGGAGAGAAAAATGGAACTGAATCCAGTTGTCACAAAAAATCTAGTTTCTATTATATATTGCTGAATGGATGGTACCCAAGTTTCCTTGGGGTAGTTCAAGACAGTTCCCAGGACTTCCTCTTTTAGCTACATTGTCCTTCTTATCATATCAAGTGTTCATTGATTTTCACTTACTAACTTGCACCGTTTTACCATTGTTGGCTTGGTTGTCCAAGTGGCCACTGAATCCATCTGTGTCCTGACATGATATTGTTTCAATGCCCTGGACAATTCTGGACATGGCCAAGCCAGTCAAAACCAGTTGGGATGACAGCCAAGAAGATGGAGTCATGCACTTTGGCAAGACAGAGAAGTCACTTTTCCAGTACGATGTGGCCACCATCTTGAATCTTGAAAGCTGACTTAAGGCTCACAAACTACCCTTGGGAACCCTTGGATAGAAGTATTCAGATCACTAAGAGTTTCCTCATAACCTTTCTGGTTACTGGTTTCTCTGTGACTCTCATCTCTTGGAGATGTAGAGAGATGTTAGAGCCTGGTTTGAATCTTAGCTCTCCCTCTTTCTGGTTATGTGGTTTTCTTGTCTGGAACCTTACCTTTTTGTAGTTAAGGTTATCTAAAAGTCTTTTCTTAGGCACCAATGGCTCATGCCTGTAATCCTAGTTACTCAGCAGGCTGAGATCTGAGGATTGTGGTTCAAAGCCAGCCTGAGAAGGAAAGTCCATGAGTCTCATTACCAATTAACCAGAAAAAAGGCCCTAAGTGGAGGTGTAGCTCAAGTGGTAGAATGCCGATCTTGAACAAACAAAACTAGGGAGCATGCCCAGGTTCTGGATTTAATCCTAGTTCCAGCACACACACACACACACATACACACACACACACACACACACACACACACACACAGCTTTTCTTAAAAAGAATTTTTGTTTTTCATGTGTAAAATGGTGACAGCATGGAACTAAATATAAATATAATGCCTAACTAAAATAGGCATTAGCACAGACAGTGCTTATTGCATATAGGTAGCCATAACAACTAAAAACATTATTAGTCTAATACAGTACTCATCGATCATTTGTTATTTACTTGTCTATCTGTTCAGGCTTGGTAGCTACTCTATAATAAAGACCTCGCTAACTGAATGTAGTCACTCTAACTACTATGTCAGGCATCAGTATTTTTGTGTTTCACAGGAGGCCTTCAGACTCAGAACCCCAAGAACCCACCTACTCGAATGTATCAGGCTGGGTAGAACTGCAACCAGTGTACAGCAATGGTGAGGACCAAGGGCCCTCTGGATTGTCAGCGACCATAGAGTGGGTGTAAGAAATGATTGTGGCAAAAGATGAGGAGTGACATCACACAGCCCCAGAGGGCCCTAGGCCTTCCAGAGAATAAACCAGTGGGGGGAGGAGGAAGTAGCTAAAATAAAACATAAGTACCTTAACATCTTCTGAACTTCCAACTTCTTTCTAAGTAAATTCTCTAGGAGGAGATGTGGTTTACTCAGAAGTACGGCGGTGTACCAAGGAAAGGCCGTATGCAGGTAAGACCTAGAAAAGTCTCTAATCTGGCTGCATCTCAACTCAGCTCAGTCTCTATCTCCTTAGCAGGTCCTGGCCAGTGAGGCATAGAGCTGTCCCTCACCAAGTCCCTGGAGCTTCTTGTGTGATTCAAAAGCCCCCATGCAAAGGCTGGGAAGGTGGCTCAGTGGTAGAGTGCTTGCCTTGCATGCATGAGGCCCTGGGTTCGATTCCTCAGCACCACAGAAGCAGAAAAAAAAAAAGCCAGAAGTGGCGCTATGGCTCAAGTGGTAGCGCTAGCCTTGAGCTGAAGAGCCCAGGCCCAGAGTTCAGGCCCCACAACTGGACCCAAAAACCCCCATGCAGTATTGTGTTTTCTATTCTCTGCAGACGGCCTTAGTATCACTTGTGTAGCAAGGCCATTACCTGAAGTCCTTTCACCCCTCCCAGTTGCAGCATCTTTGTCTGAAAAGGGGAATTTGAGTATCATTCCCCACTCTCTGTCAGTTTAGCTGCTATGATAGAATACTACACAATGCATCTTAAAGAACAAGCATTTACTACTTACAGTTCTGGAAGCTAGACATCCAAAACCAAGATGCTAGATTGTCAGTGAGAGCTCTCTCCCTGGTTTACAGACAGATAAGGGTCTCCTTGATTGACTTATTGAATGATACTGGGATTTGAACTCCAGTCCTCACATTTGTCAGGCAAATGCTCTACCACTTGAACCCCACTCCCAGCCCTGACAAGATACCTTCTTGCTTTATGCTTATACAGCAGAGAAATTATCTTTCTCATGTCAAAAAAGTATGAATCTCACTATGACCTAATTATCTCTAGGGCCCAAATTCTAAAAATACTGTAACACTGAGAGTTTGAGCATCAACACATGAATTTGGATAAAGACACATTCAGTCTAATAGGACTTTTTTACTTTTTATTTATTTTCGGTTGCTGAGGTGACAAATTTCCATAAACTTGGTATGATAACCTAATACAAACTGTCTTCTGGTTCTATAGGTAGAAAGTTTGACATGAGTCTCACTAAGCCATTCTTGGTATGGGCTGGGCAGTATGTCTTTCTAGAGCTGTAGAGTTCATGTGTTTCTTGGCTTCTTCAGCTTGCAGAGGCTGCCCACTTCCCTTGGCTTGTGTTCGCTTCCATGAGGTTTAGTCAGCCTGCAAAGCTCAGGTTGATGGCCAGCCATCAAAGCCAGCAGCGTCACAACATTGTAACTGTTCTTCCCAGTAAACGTTCTCTGAATTTAAGGATTCATATTGAACTCACATGGATAATTCAGAATCCCCAAGTCTCTAATCTTTACATGTGAAAAGCCATATAAGATTACCTATTCACAGGTTCCTTGATTAGGATGTAGATATCTTTGGGGGAGGGCATAATTCCAGCTAACCCACAGAGGGTTATAGTGAATATGACACAGCACATAGAAGTGGAAATGGTGTGAAAGTGGCAGTATTAAGCAGCTGTGATGATGCTCTGTGTTGGTAGTCTGTCTATGTCAACAGTCCTAAATGTTGTAGGGACCACAAGGAGGAATCCAGCTAGAAGGCCAGGAGCAGGAAAGGGGGGCAGGATCCTTCAGGGCAGGGTTTTCTTTCTAAATCTGCTTTTCAAGAAGTACCAGGTAATTTTAGCTAGTTCATTCTCCTAAGTTTTGATTTCTTTTTTATAAAGTTAAATGAACTGTGTTGTTCACATCCCATTTTTTTTCTGTAACACCTCTCTAATACCTAGGAGCTCATTCAAACTTACAACTCTTTTTGAGGTAAACACTGCTATGCCTATTTTACAGATGAGGACACTGATGAAGAGACTTTCAATGATTCATCTGAAGTCATAAATCACACACACACACACACACACACACACACACATGAGCTCCAGAATTAAAATTCTCAGTGTAGTTCCAGGAATCCTTAACACTCAGCCCAAAGTAGGCAATGCCGTGCTTTACTCCAGTGTGAAGATAATTTAGCATTAACAGTTAACTTCTAACATCTATTCTATGAGCAATTCTTATGTGCTAGGTATAGTTCTGAGGGCTACAAATACCCTGTGTGTGTGTGTGTGTGTTTGCGGGCACGCACGCACATGCGTTTATATCCCTTAGAACTGTACCTTGCCAGATACGAACTGTACCTTGCCAGATACCTGTGGCTCATGCCTGTAATCCTAGCTACTCAGGAGACTGAGATCTGAGGATCGAGGTTCAAAGCCAGCCCAGGCAGGAAAATCCATGAGACTTTTATCTTCAATAAACCACCAGAAAATGGAAGTGGCGCTGTAGCTCAATTGGTAGAGTACTTGCCTTGAGCTGAAGAGCTCAGGACAGTGCCCAGGCCCAGAGTTCAAGTCCCACAACTGACCGGAAAAAAAAAAAAACAACTGTACCTGTAGCATATTTGTGCATATATATTTATGATATGCACCATGGCATATACATGCACAGTGGCATCCGTGCATATGATGAGAGAGAAAAAATAGTACAACTGTTCAATGCATGATATATGATAAAAATTATACAGACACAGCATATGACATACATATCCATGTATAAGATGCATTTGTTAAGTGAGAGAAGGGGTGGGGTAGGGGTAATGAGTGACAATATTATCAGACACTTTGTATTTATATACTGTTTTGTAGAATGGTAACTTCTTTTTTTGTCAGTCGTGGGACCAGAACTCTGGGCCTGGGCGCTGTCCCTCAGCTCTTCAGCTCAAGGCTAGCGCTCTACCACTTGAGCCATAGCACCACTTCCAGCTTTTTCTGCTTATGTGGTGCTGAGTAATCAAACCCAGGGCCTCATGCATGCAAGGCAAACACTCTTCCACTGAGCCACCTTCCCAGCTCCAAGAATGGAAACTTCTTTGTACAACTACTTAAAGATAATAAAAAATTTTAAAGATACATTTGTTGTGATGATATATATGCATATATGTGCATATATATATATATATTCTTTACAACAAACCTATAGGCAGATGCTATGTTGACTTCTATCATCATATAGATGAGGTAACCAAGGCAAGAGAAGTTAAGAGACTTGCTCCACAGCCCAAGGAAGGAAAGGCAGACTCAGGACTCCGTCCACAGTGGTCTATAAAGCCCTTTCCAGGCCTCTCCATATCCACACATGAATCTAAAATCAAATCCCTTAACAAGATAAAGTGTCATTTTCTTCTTTTGAGAGTCCTCAGCTCAGAGTATATAACAAAGTGTGAGGTGATATTGGGGAGAGGGCTGGTCAGTGCTGGTGGAATGCTTGCTGGACAGAAAGAGGCTTAAAGGAACAGGGAGGCCTAGCAGCAGTGCAGGGGCAGAGCGCTCCAGGCAGTCTCCACATCTGAATACTCTTCTTCTTTCCACAGTGGCCTCTGTACCCCTGGTCCCTGAAAATAAGGTGAGTATCCTGACTTGCATGGCCTCCCACGTGGTTCCATAAGCTCCGCACCTCACCCCCATGCCCTTCCCCACTAGGGCTCCCCTGTCATCTACACAGAGGTGAAGGTGGCATGCACTTCGGCTTCCAAGCCCAACTGTCAGCCTCCTCAATGATGCACACACGATTCTGCACACCTGTCCAGCTGCTGCTTCAACTGCTGCACCTCTCCGTGGGACAAATGGATTGCCGAAGTAGAAAATCCAGCCCTGCTGGACTCCTGCTTGTTTCCCAGGCTACCACCCTGTGCTGGGAGTATGTTTACTGTTATTCCCAGCACAGGCTGCAGGCATTGCCTTTCCTGGCTTCTTTGGTAGGCTTCAGCTGTGGACAGCCTCTCAATTGTGCTTTTAGGAGTGTATTTCTCAATTACCATCTGCCTGGTGCAGTTCCTACCATCCTACGCCAAACAGAAAGCACATATCCCAAAGAACAATGGACCGATCAACCTCTCTCTAGCAGAACTGTGTTTGACCCTCTTGAAACTCTGTCTGAAACCTCTTAAGGCCAGCCCCTGACTGCCTGATGGAATTTGGGGTGAGGAGGATGCATGTCTTCCCATCACTCCTATCATTGCCTCTTTGTGGAGGGAACCCCTATGGACCATATTCCCGGCCCGTCTCTGCCCTCACTCCCTCCTCACTTTCTAAGCTGGCGTCACTGACACAACTCCCCGGTGGGTCCAAAAGGAGAGTATGGGCCTGCATAATCCAGTCACTCAGTCTCCCTTTCTCATAATCAAGGGACTCGCACAGAAGCTCATGTTCACCTCTGCCCTACATTTCCAAGAATCTGCCTCTTTAAAATAATAAATAAAAATAAAAAGTGCCTGCAGCTTCAGGAACATAATTTCAATCTCAATGTCAGATACATTAGATGTCAATCCTTGAGAAATCAGAGGAGAAATCAAGAAGGAAAGATACATAGCAAAGAAGGAGGCTCCTACTATAACCGGGCAGTTGACTTTGCATATGGGTGGCACTTGCTTGGCACAGGCTGTGTGGGCTTTGTAGCATGGCTTTTTACAACTATTTATTTGAAGCTGTCCTGGGTTTGGAGCTGAATTAGTTTTGGGCTGCTGAATCTGGAAGAGGAACTCTCAGGCTCAATATGCAGTGTTTTGTGGCCATTGATGAGGACATTGTCCTAAAGCTATTGGGCTGGGTTACAGCTGCTGGCCATCAAGTGATGCTGAGCAGATGCACTGAACTGTTCTGGCTGGAGTGACTGCAGCCGTGGCTTGCATGGCTCCTATAACTGTGGAATCAGGTACTGGTCCATGTTCTTCCTGACATGTGGGGGTATGGCCTGACCTACCTCTGCCCTGGGTCCCCTGCTCAGCAGAGGCATGATGGTGTAAAGGGGTTAAGAAGATAATAAATCCAGTGAGTAAATTTAATTTAGTGGATAATCTAACAGTGCAAATGCACTATTGAGAAACATAAAAGCTTGATATGTGAACATCCCAAGTAACTAAGCAAGTCATTTGTTGCAAATCTGAGGCCAACTTGGACATACTCACCCTTGTATATGTTCTATTTCTTTCTTAGCCCCTCCTATTCTCTTTCATGTGTTTTCCCTGGAATTAGACTCATCCATGTGCTAGCACATGGCCTTCTGCTGCAGGCTACTTTCTAGGCTTTCTAGGGAATCAGAACTCAGACAGCAGGTCGATAGGCTTAAAGCCACAGAGTTTCAGCCAAATTACAGCCATGTAGTTTGTAGTTGTCAGAAGCCAGACATGGCACAGCTGGCAGGGAAGGGTGGGGAAGGCCTCTGCCAAGCCAGTAGTCTTGAAAAGGTCCCTGAATGTAGCTTCCCTGAACAGATGTGGCTGCAGCAAAGATTTGAACACAGGAGGAGAAGGAGGAGAAGGAGGAGAAGGGGAGGAGGGGAGGAGAAGGAGAAGAAGAAGAAGAAGAGGAAGAAGAAGAAGAAGAAGAAGAAGTTGAAGTTATTTCATTAATGCCTTTCATCTATTGGAAATCAGAGCAATAGTTACTGCTTTAAATGCAAGGCAATTGAGTTCCAAGTGTATCATGTGGCTTTTCAAGCTTTCTGTTATGAGAGGGGTGTGGCAATAATTCATCTATATTGTCAATTTGATTGGAGAGTTATGCCTAAGAGATAAGTAAATCATACTTCTGGGTTCCTCTGTGAGGATGCTTTCAGAGAGGATTAAGGAGGACCCGCCCTGGAAATGAGTGACACGATTCAGATGGAAGAGAGCAGGAAGAAAGAGAAAGCTGGAAAGAACAGCCCCTCCCTTGCCCCACTCTCTGTCTGTCTCTGGAAGGAGGGCCTGAGCAATCACTTGCCCCAAAGCCACACATTTCTGCACAGAGGCTCTAGGGGCAGCCCCTCCCCCATGCCACCTCCAGTCCTGGTCATCAGTGCTCAGGTCTCCTTACCATGTTCCCCAACCCCTTCTGTTCTCTCAGCACCCTGCTGAGGATGATGCTATCTGTGTCTTGCTGGGAAACTGTTCTCCTCCTCCTCCTCTGCTTGGCTCAGAGTTGGGCCTGGGTGGGGCGGGGGGGGGGTAGGAGGGGAGAGGAGGGATGTCTTTCTCTTCCCAAATTGGCCAACACCTCTCACAATGAGGCACAATCAGGCAATAGCTCACCAATGATAGCCAGACCACCACCACCACCATCACCACACAGGAAGTGGAGTAGGGAGCAGAGCAGAACAAAGCAAAGCAAAGCAGAGCAGAACAGAACAGGACAGAGCAGGGCAAAGAAAAACAGGGAGGGCAGGAGTGATGAGCTGAAGCAATGGCTCGGGTAAGAGGAGTATGGAGTGCAGCGAACATGGGGAGGGGGGCCTCAGTGCCGGAAATGATGCCCCTGACCTGCACGTCGGACCAGACAGGACAGGAGAGGACTGGACAGGTGAGCTTTGTCAGGGGAGGACATCCACACTTTGGAGAATGCAGGTAGCCAAGGAAAGTGTGGCGCTCAGCCACACATGGCACACGGCACGGCACGTCCAGTGTCCTGACGGACATACAACGCTGAACCCAATCGGCAGTCCAGCAGGGATAGCACAGGATAGGGAAAGTGCACTCCTGCCCACCCCACCCCCTCCCTGCAGCAGTAGGCACCCACGGCCCCCCCCCTGGGAGCCAGCCTTTCTGTCTACTTGCCCATGGCCTGGCCCCCTGTACCATCGTGGATCCTGACGCACACTTGAAGCCAGCAATTGATCACAGAGGGCAGGGAAGCAACCACTGTCCCTTGCCAGCCTGGGAGCACATCTGTGCCTTGACCAGAAGCTGTGTTGACTATGCATGGGTGGTTCAGTGGTAGAATTTTTGCCTGCCACACAGGAGGCCTGGGTTCAATTTCCAGCCCATGAAGTATGTTACCCCTTATGTTTTGGTCCTCTGCCTACACACAGACACACACACAGAAAAATATTCCCTTTCCCTTCCTTGCCCACCACTCCTTCACCCCATACCATTTCACACACACACACACACATACACACCGTACCTGCATCCTGCTCCGGCACCCCATCAACCCCCCTCCTGACATCTCCTACCCCTGAACGTTACTACCCTCTCTCCAAACCACTAACCAGCCCACAAGTACACTTTTCCAATGGCCACAACACCTGTTCTCAGCTCTCCTACATGCCCCACTATCATCCGTGCATCCCATGGACCTCCCGGGACTTCCAGGGCTACCATGCCCCATGAATATGCTGTCTCCCCTATGCCACCCTCAGCCACAGCATGTCTTCGAATCCCCGCAGCAGCACAGCTGACACCTACCATCTCCACCCTCACCCCACCCAAACCCCTCATCTCCCATCATCCACAGCCTGGCTCAAGGCTCACCACTTGCCTGGTGTCTGCTCCTTGGCCATCACTTAATTACCTTCTCAGACATATACTCACCTCTTGCAGGTTTTGTCTCAAAAAAAGAAAGGATTCAGCTGGGCACCGGTGGCTCACGCCTGTAATTCTAGCTACTCAGGAAGCTGAGATCTGAGGATCATGGTTCAAAGCCTGCCCAGGCAGAAAAGTTCATAGGACTCTTATCTCCAATAAACCACTAGAAAACTGGAGGTGGCACTGTGCCTCAAGTGGTAGAGCGCTGCCTTGAGCTAAAGAGCTGAGGGATAGTGCCCAAGCCCAGAGTTCAAGCCCCACAACCGACAAAAAGAAAAAAAAAGATTCAACTTTCAGTCCACCAGCCTGGTCTACCACTAGCCTACCACTGTATACAACTTACAGTGTGTGAGGAGTGTGAGTTGGGGTCCATGTGGCCCCTCACTCTCCCAATCCTGTCCTCCCTCCCTCCCTCCTTTCCTCCCTCCCTCTCTCTCTCTCTCTCTCTCTCTCTCTCTCTCTTTGTCACACACACATCTGTCTGTCTGACTCTCTCAGTGGACCTCTGTGATCAGAGGGGCTTGATCTCACTGGAACCATAGCCAGTTCCTCCCATTTGCTATAAGCTGCTCCTCTCCTTCCTTCCATTCAGTCCTTGGCACACCCAGCACCCACCACCATTCCTCCACCTCCCACCCCAATCTCCTCCCACAGGCTTTCTCTCACTTGTTTTTCTGACCACTCACAATCACTTGGTCTCCTCAACCTGGCTTCCTCCTACCTTCTTAGACCCATGGTACCTTAGTCTCCACCCACAAGCTGCCCAACATAGTCACTCAGAGCTCAGGGTCCCATGCTTGAATGCTCTGAACTTCTGTAGAACCCCCGTTGATTGCCAGCCCCACCCCCAGCCCTTTCCCCCAACTTCCCACACGTGTTCTCCCACCCCTCCCCAGGACCTGGACTCTACCTGTTCATCTAACCCTCATTGTCACCTTTGCCCCAAGCTTCATGGGACACCTGCCATCTTGGAGAGCTTACCCTCATGACCCACCTCCAAGAGAAACACCCTGCCTCCTGACAGTCACGTGTAAAGCACAGTGGCTCCTCCGCACAGGTGGCAGGGAGCCCTGTGTCCAACTGTCACCAACCAACAGGTTGACCGCTAGCCTGGCTGCCCATCAGCTTCCCTCTAAAGGGAATTGGGGCGGCAAGCCCATTGAGCTCTGCACTTGACTGGGAGGCAGCCGCACAAGATGGATCTGGGCTGTGAGGTAAGGTTGAGACCAGAGTGGGAACCCACTACAGATCCTACGGAGCACATCCTCTGTTCCCTCCTGGCCATGTGGAGACGGGGTTGAGAGTTTGGCCATGACCATCCAGTGTCCTCCAGCCCATGCTCCTGTCACCAAGCCTATTGGTGTTGGCTTGGCTGTTGCTTATTCCCCCGGCGACACACATGCTGATCTCCCTGCCTTTGCCTCTAGCTGGCTGCCCCTTGTCTACTCTGCAGCCACCTGGCTCCTGATGCCTCTTCTGCCTCTTTCTTTGAGGGAGGTTTATGGAGGGGAGCAAGAGATCTCCATCCACACTGGCTCAGCTCAGGTGACCACCAAACCCACTGCCATGGGTGGAGAAAGACTGGAGGGCAGGACTCGATGCCTGGCCAGAGGGAGGTACCAACCACTTCAATGACTGGTGCCACATAGCCAACCAGACCAGGCAAGGGCGAGAACTGGAGGGCATAGGCCCCACTCACTGTTGGGAATGTGTCTGTAGCCACAGGAGGTGTGGCCAAAGCAGCTCTGTGGAAGAGTCCTGGAGCCATCCCAGAAATAACACCATTGAGTGAGGGGGAGGAATAAGGAGAAGAGGGACAGGGAGAGAGGGAGAAAGAAAGGGAGGCAGGCAGGGAGGGAGGGAGGGAGGAAGGAAATGAGTGGATCCAGAAGTGTCAGAGTGAGGGAATGGGCGGGTACATAATGGGGTGAATGGGGATGCGGTGAATGGGTTGTTGAGTCTGTGAGTAGGTGACTGAATGGGGTTGGACATGTGAGCCGCCATGTAAATGCTGGTGAAAGTTTGTGTGTGGGAGGAGGAGTGTGTGTGTGTGTGTGTGTGTGTGTAAATGGGAGAACAGGAAGGCTGGTGATGAGTGAACATGACTGAGTGTGTGAGTGAGTGACAAATGGTGTGGAAGGTTGAGTAGGGAGATGTGTGAGTTAAGCAGAGATTGATGGAGTGGGCAAGGGGTTGGGTAGATGAGAGGGATCTAGAGAGTATTTGGATGAAGAGGAGGGTGAAGGGGGGTGTGACTGGGTGGCTTGGTGAAGGAATGTGTGTACACAGTGACTTGCTGAGCAAGAGGGTGAGCATGTAGGCAGCTGGGTAGGGGGTGCGAGTGAGCTGCAGAACAAGGGAGTAGACAATTGGGTCAGCAGATGGAACAGAGTGAGCAGCTGACTGAATGAGTGGTCAGAAGAGTTGAGTTTATGTGACACAAAGGAATGGAGTGGGGGCTGAATGAGGGAAGCCGGGAGTGACTGAGTGAGTGCACAAGTGGCAGCCTGAGCGAGGGAAGAAGGGCTGACGTGCAGGAAGGGAGAGAGATGGGTGAGGAAATCTTGGTAGATGTTGGAGTGAGCAGGTGATCAAATGAGCCAGAGGGAAGAATGCCTGAGCTTAGTGTTTTGGGGGTTGTGGGGGGTAGTAAGTGGCTCAGGGGGAAGGGGATATGCAAGTAAACAAGCAGGTGAGTGAGGTGAGGGAGTCCTTGAGGGTGGTAAGAAAGGAAGGAGAGCAGGACAGAGGGACAGAGGAAGGGAGCTAGTGAGGGAGTGAAAGACAGAGGGAGTGATGCAACACAGGAGGGAAGGAGGCAGGGAGGGTAAGATCAGGAGGGAAAGGGAGAGAGGCAGGCAGTGGATGGGCCAGTGGTGGAGTGTGGGGTGAGTGAGTGGTGGATTGGAAGACTGGGTTTGGAGATTGTGATGGGCTGAGGCTGGAGAAAGGGAGTGGAGAAAGATCAGTAAGAAGGAAGGCAGGTGGATGACTCAGAGTGTCAAGATCAGGAAAGGGGGTGTTGGCTAAGAAAGAGAAAGGCAGAGGGAAGAAGCTGAAGGTGGCAGGGTGGGGTGAAGTAGCCAAGCAGTGCTGCAGGAGGAAGGGTCAGTGCACAGAGGGGGTGTGTGCTGAGGTGCTGGAGAAATAAGCTAGCCAGCCCCTGTCCCAAAAAACAAGGGGAGTATGTTGGAAAATGGAAGGGCAGTAAAAGTTGGTGGAGCCAGGTTTTCCTAGCTGGGAATTAAACCCCAACCACCACAGTCAGAGTACAGAACCCTAACCACTAGGCCACCAGGGATCACATCCCTTTTGTAGCCCAGAAGCTCTACTAGACATTCCTCCCACCGCTGGACACCTAGCATTCAGCAGTCCCATAGTTGAAGGTATGGCTGGACAAAGAACAAGTGCCTGGCCTCTGCCCCTGAGCCAAGTCAAGCAGCACCTCTTTGGGGGAGGTTTACGGCCAGGGAGGGAGTAGCTGGCTGCGTTTCCACCCAGCTCACCACACAGGGTGGGGTACAAGGCAGGGGAACAAGCAGCCAAGCAGTGATGTTGCAGGAGGAAGGGTCAGTGCGCAGAGGTTGTAAGGGAGGGCAAAAGGGGGTGGGTGGAGTTGTGTGGTGGAGGCAGGAGGGGAAGTGGAAGGGCAGTGAAGAAGGCAAGTGAGAGTGGGAAAGGAAGAAGAAAGGCTTCCCTGACCGGGAATCGAACCCCGGCCGCGGCGGTGAGAGCGAATCCTAACCACTAGACCACCAGGGAGCGTGCCACCGCCTGCACGGAGCACTCCTCCTGCAAACGAGCAGCGCTGCCGGACACTCAGCGCCGCTGGACGCCTGCCATCCACCGGCCCCATGGGTTGGAGGTATGGCTGGCCAAAAAGACAAGGACACTGGCGAGCCGGTTGCCTGGCCGACCT